CCTCACAGTCCTGTGTGAGGTTGTGACAGGGGGGTCCGGACATGTGAGCAGAAGCCTGTGGTGAGAGACCTGGGAGCCTTCGTTGCCTGTAAGGCCTGTGCAGGATGCCCAGCTGCCAGGGGCTCGCTCAGCATGATTCAGGCTCCACAGAGACACGGCAGGACAGACAGCTGCTGCCTGCACTGCATCCTGCCTGGGCCAGGTCCTGGGAAGGGCAGAGGGATCCTGTCTGCAGGGAAGCCTCTCCCTCCAGTGTCCTCTCCAGGGAGTGGAATTGGAAAGGCCTGAGGACTCAGTAATCCCCAGCCCTCCCCTCAGCCAATGTCAACTTCAATTGCTCTTCCCAATAGTGACCCTGAGCCTTTCTCTTCTCTTCTTGCATGGGCTGTCATTTCATGACAGCACTGTTGGGGTCCAACCCCAGCAGGTCCAGGGGTTCCCAAAGGTGTGGACGGAGTCGGCAAAGAAGGAATGACACAGGGACAGCGTTCAGTTGATCAGCAGCCTAGCCAGGTTCTGCAGCCAAGTTCTCTAGCCAGGTTCTCTTTTATTCTCCTGTTACGTCTGTATTTATACCATTTGATTTTAATCCTATCCATTCTATTCCAAAGGTTAGGGCATTTGTTATCTCCATTCCAAGGTCACTGCTCTACTGTTCTGTTAAGCTACAAGGAAGTAACTGAAGGGGATTATCCTAAGTAAAGATTATGTAGCTTAAGCGTGATTGTTCATAATTAAGGTGATTAACTACCTGTGTGGCACTTAGTTATGTGTTTTTACTGATTTATTCCCTTCCTTAGTCCTGTTAATCCGTAACTCCAGGGGAAAATCCCCACCTGGGGAAACATTCTTTCTCAGAGAGGTGACCTTGGTTAAAACACATAGTGCTAAAAAGGGGAGCAAACATATTAAGAACAGTATGCCATATACGCCAGGTCCCTTGAAACATATGCTATGCAGATGTTTCTTCCCTGCAGCGACTGTGTCAAGCAGCAAAGATGGACCAGCTTCCGGCACAGCACTACTCTCGGCATATCCTTGGTCGATGCGTTTAGGCTTTTGACTTTGAGATTCTGCTGCTATAAATATTACTAACTTTCCCTAACCAGTAGCAATTAGTGTGACCACTGCCCTCCCCTGAGGTACATACAGAAGAGAAAGGCATTTTCACTTTTGCAAGTGCTTATTGAACTATTTGAACTTCATGAAATACAGAGAAAAAAACATTTTGTGGAAGATTCTTAATCTTTCATGTTACTGCTTTGGACTTAAAATCAATGTAAATAAATAATCTCTTATTTGTACTCTGATAGGTAATGAGTACAATATTACTGGTGTGGATTTGGAACATATCACTGATTTTAAATGAAAAGTAAATCAATCAGATTTTTAAAAAAATCCTTACTAGCTCATTCATTGCCTTTTCCTGGTTTCTTTCAATCAACTTGGAGATGGTGGCAAATGATGAGTTTTTATTACTTGTTTTTATTTTATTTTATTTTTTATTGATTTCAGAGAGGAAGGGAGAGGGAGAGAGAGATAGAGACATCAATGATGAGAGAGAATCATTGACCGGCTGCCTCCTGCTCGGGGATGGAGCCTGCAACCCCAGCATGTGTCCTTGACTGGAATCGAATCCGGGACCCTTCAGTCCACAGGCCGAAGGTCTATCCACTAAGCCAAGCCAGCTAGGGCCGATTTCACTTCTTAAAGAAAGTGTTTTATTCCTCGTTCACCAGAAGTCTCCTCACTTGTTTAGGGAGATGGAAGTCCATCCTTCAGTTTCCGTGATTCTGGATCGAGAAGGAGGAGGTGGAGGAAGCAGGGAGTGAGGCAGGTGGGAAGGTGAACAGAGCAGAGTCTGGGGCAGTCACAGGAGGGGAAGGAAAAGGGGCGCAGGAGGGGAGAAAGCAGAGGGACTGTGAGACCTGAGGGGAGGGATGGAGCTGGGGCCCAGGGGGGAGCAGGTGACCCAGAGGAGGAGACAGGCCCAGGGAGAGAAG